CACTGGCTGTTTGAGCATCCATAGATCCTGAGATTGGTATGAGACTCTTTTAATGGGTTCTCCAAAACACTCAGGAGAAAAGTAGTTCTATAAAAAGCATTTTAGCCAACTGTCTTCTCCAGCATGTATTTCTATCTTCTATTTTAAAACTGAGTGATTCAAGTCGTACCTCACTGAATAGCACTTCTGCATGAAACACTGTTACCTCTGCTGCTTCAACAGTTTTCAGGACAAACTGAATCAGGCTTATGCTTCACTGCCAATAGTTTTACTGGCATAGCTACCAAAACATGAATAACCAGCCGTAACTAGGAGCCAGATCATCTATAAATGTCAGTGGGGAAAGAGACCTGAGAAAAGTAAATTGTTAGTAACAAGAGGGAGAAAAACAGGTGATGATCATTCAGAACTAGTTTTCTGAAGTCAGTTTTGGAAACTGCTTTCTACTGCTTTGTAGAATGCGATTTGTGATTTCTAGTTAATACTCTAAAATCTCATCTGTGATGTTAAAAAAAGTCACCTGGAGACCTAAAGCTGTGAAGAATACTTACAGGTGATAAACTAAGTGTTAAGAGAGAAAACCATGCCTGGCTGAAACCTAAAACAGAAACAGCAGCTATAGGAAAATAAAGCATAATTTAAATAAAATTATAACATATTTTTCAGCTTACAGGGATTCTTTACAGCTCAGAGAAATTATTCTTTATGTTGCATTTTCCCATTATTTCATAACATTGTCAAAGAAGGAGTAATGGGAAAGGTGCTTCCAGAAAACACTGCTTTGTAAGGATATGAATCTTGACAGGAATTGGGAGAGAGATCAAATCCTCTGGAGGGCTTCAACATGCAGAACACAGTGAAGTCCCACCTAAATGTGGTGACTGTTCTACTGTGTCAGTATTGACTACTCTGAAGCCCACCAAAGTCAAAGAAAATTTTGCTATTGACTTAATGGGCTTTGGATCAAGCCTCAAGTAATCAAGTTACATGCATATACTAACGTTCATTAGTAGACCCAAAGGAATATAGGGACCCACCATAAATACAGTTCCTAAAGCTGGTGAATTGATTGTTACCACAACAGTGTGACTGAGAAACAATAAAGATTAAAGAGATTAATCATTTTAGGACCTGCTACTATATCTGTTAATGTCTTGGGTACAGTAAAGAAAACTATTTCGACACTGGAAAAATTTTCAGGGCAAAGAGAAGGAGCAGAAGTAATTAATATTTAGCAGAAAGGTCCAAGACACTCCCCTGGTGACTACTTTATGTTGCAGACCTTTAGTCTTCCTTCCCTGTGAGCCTTGGTTAAGGGTTGTGTAGCTTTCACAATCATCTATAATTCATCTATATGGACAGTTAAGAGTAAATCCCAGTCAAATTTGGATGTAAAGTTGTTTGTGGTCCTGGTAACAATGACGTTAGTTTGTTCTGGTTTATGTCTATATCATTCACATTCATGGGTGGGATTAGTTGAGGTAAGGATGGCTGGCAGGGATATTGGGTGCCAGAATGAGAAGCTAAACCCAGTCCAGGGTTACTGTATCCTTGCTGGCTGGGTAAATTACTACCCAACTCTTGCCTTTCAGACTGTTGGGATTTGTGCTTACACTATTGTAGCTAAGGTGAATCTCAAATATGTTGTAATAGAGGATGGGTGAATAAAGAATCAAAAAAATGAAGAGCAATAATGAATTACAATTTTTTCAGTTTCCTATTAAAACATTCTATGTAAAAATCACTATTTTCTACCAATTTACTCAGATAGGTTGGTTAATGTATCCTTTAAGAATGCAATGAAGGACATTGTGAAGTAATTTAGTCGCTATAATAATCTTTAAAATACAATTTGAACACTTATCCAGCACGCACAACAGATGCTCAAGTCACTATGCAGGCAACATTCTTTGCATAAAGGGAAATCTAAGTAGGCATGGACAGGGGAAAGTAGGAGGTAGAGGTGCAGCCGAATATTCATTAGTACTGCTCAGACTACTCAGCCCTAAAGCCTCACCTAAATGAAGTCATGGCTTTCAATGTAAAGCTCTGTTAATGTACACATTTCTACTAGCCATGTACTAGTGACCAGTGGCACAATATTAATGTGCAAGAACATCCAAAAAGAAAAAAGTCTAAGAGTATTAATGTATCAAACCACAAAACAGTCCTATGAAAATGGAGGGAGAATGACTTACAGTTTGATCAAACTGTGAAAAATGAAAATCTGACTCAAGAGAGAACAGATCTACACACTTTTGTCTCAGCTCCATCACTTCCATGATACTAGTGATGTCTCATTGCCATCTAGGCAGTTTCTCCAGTACCAGCTGGGTATAACAAGGGAAAAACTGATTGAAATTTCTTCCAGAGCTGAAGATATTTTTCTGAGGGTACTTTTGTCTGTAATTTTCTTGCTTCACAACTGCAAAAAAAAAAAAATACTCAAGCATCTGAAATGCAACATAAGCTACAGATTGGCTGAGTCATAATCAGCTTCCTAATGAGGACTCTGGCACCGAGCATGAACACTGAAACCTCCAGCCATGGCACTATTAACACTAGTGGTGATGAACTGAAGGCATGAGTCTTGACAGTTCTGCCAATGCCTGGCAGAACAAGAGGGACCATAAACTGCAAGCCAATTTGTACACCAGTCCCATATTCAAGGCATGGCCAAGTATAAGACCTCAGGCTCGTGCTACAGGCTTATCAAAGGGGTTTTATGTTAAAAATATACAAGGTTCCAAAAATCTGCCTGCCAGATTTATTAAAAGAGCCTTCAGTTCTTTTTATATCTTGAAAGAGTACACAGCAGAACACACCGCACACATTTCTCAGGATGTCAAATAACACACTTTTACTGGCAAACTTTAAAAATTAAGGGAACTTGGCAAAAGTTTAAAGGGCAACATTCAACCAAAATAAAGCATTGCACAAAGCATTGACTTAGCACATGCTAACCCATACAACTTAGCAAAATCCAACTCCATCCAGCTTTAAGTTACCCAAATATCAAGAAAGGAGATTAGGAGAAGAAGAAGAAGAAATAAAGAAAGAGAGAGAAAAAAAGAGAATTATAGCTACCTCCTGGAGTCCCATGCAGTTCCAGCTTCCACATGTCCAGACAGTAGGGTTGTGACAATGTAGACACCTGATGGTGTTGGTTTTATTTACTTTTGCCCACTGTGGCCATCCCCCCACCTTCCACCCTCCACCCCAGGTGAGACTTCTGGCCCACTGGCCGCTCTGAGGCTGGGTTAGGGGCTCCAGGGGCTGTGGTGTGGAGCAGTGCTCCCCGTGTCCAGTGACTGACAGCTGCTCTGGGTTGGCCAAGGAGGCTCCAAGGGGCTGGGATATGGAGCAGGGCACCTTTGTGAAATGTGACCTGTCCCTTCCCCACACACACACTTGAACTGGTCTGAGGCAATAATTAATATAATAATCCAGTGTCTCACGCCAAGTCATCAAAGTTGTAAGCAGGCATCTGGATATCTCTGTGTCTCAGCTATCCAGTGGAAGGTCTCCAAAACAAGCCATTTTCCTCATATGTTGTTGTCTTGATTTGGAAGTGAGCATCTTGCTCTTTTCCTAAAACAAACCTTTGAAGGTAAGAGATTAAATCTGTCCTTAAGCCCCATACTTACAAAATATGTCAAAAACCTGAATCTTAGAGTAACTTTACCCTCCCAAATCAGAGATGAAAATAAATCTATATATCTAGGAATCACAACTGTGTTTCTAAACACATGGGATCAAAAGAGAGCAGAATAACCCAAAAGGTTCTAGTTTCTTTTCTATCCCTTTCCCACTTGTCAATCTAATATGCTTAGTATTTATTGTAGAGATAATTTTACATCAACATCATTTTACCTTAATTCCATTTTCTTTCACATCATCAAAGCACCACATAGACCTATGTCACTAAATAATTCTACTATTGTAATTTTTAAAAAAAATCCTCAGATTTTAAACCTTACCTTACTTTAGCACTCAGTTTCATTCTAAGGCTAGATTCCTTTCTAAGTTGCATTGAAACCATAAGAATGAAAAACTCAATAAGGTATTCAGACATACCAAGCTTGAGGACAAGAATAGAAGAGAACATCTAGCTTCTAGTAGCAGCCAGAAATGAGTCCAAAAGGAAAACTCTAACACAGGCTACCATGGATACTGAAATTAGAAGAACACCTGCCTCCAAAAACGTTACTCACACACCTTCAGAGTGGCAGAAACAACCAAAATTTCTGCAAATATACTAATGTCTGATGTGAAAGGGCCCTCACACATGTAAAAGTTCTGGGGATGGTAGTTTCCCCTGGTGCCCACTTTGCACCTGCCCTCTGAGACTCCTCTGGAGATGATTTCACTTTCCGTTGATAAGGAGTATATAAGGCATAAGGTAATTTCCGCCTTAACGCTATTAATACTCATAATATTAGTGTACGAACAGTGGTGACAGCCATAAGGCTATCTATTTCCTTTACAAATTCCACCAACTCTTTCATCCACTGATAAAAAAATTGCGCTGACAATTCTCTTTTTCGGTAAACTGCCTTTAGCGTGATTGCTTTGCGTCCCTTCCTCGCTCGTTCTCTCGTCCTCCTCCCCCCCAGCCGGGGGACAGACCGGGCGGGCATCTCGATTGCATCTCTACCGGGACCTCACTGTGACATCGGCGGGGCCGCGCAGCCGGTCCCGGACCCCTCCGATGGGAGCGTCCCGCTGGCACACGGAGGGAGGGCGGGCGCGGGGCGGGGAGATGCGCGGACCGGCCTCCCCCGGCGCCGGCGGCCGGAGCTTTAACGGGGGTGCCCCGGCGGCGCGGAGAGTTGTCCGTACGGGAGCGGTGCCCCATTGCCGGGGTCGGTGCCGGCCATGCCCCCCCCGCGCCCCGCGGCCCCGCACGGCCGGGGCGCAGCCTCCGCCTCGGAGCGCCGCGGGTGCCCGGCGCGGCGCGGCGGCTGCGGGGCGCGGGGGCACAGCGCCCGCCGCTGAGCGGCTCCGCGGGTGCCATGTCCTCGCTGGTGAAGGAGGACTTGGCGAAGAGGCTGTTCGGGCCCCGGCGGCAGAGGCTGCACGAGTTCATCGAGGTGGAGGGCGCGGGTGCCCAGCGCTACTACCTGTGCGCCGCAGGTGCGGGGGCAGCTGCCGGGCGCGAGTGGGTCTGCGAGAGGAGGCGGGCGCGGGTGGGTGCGTGGGGATGCAGAGTGCGCGTACCTGGGCGGGCGAGGGAGCGGGAGCGCCCGCCGGGACGGAGCGGGCAGCGGGCAGCGCCTCGGCGGGGTGCGGCCGCCGCCGCGTCCCGCCACACCGCTCCCCAGCAGGGCACAGAGCCCAGCTCGCTGCCTCCGCATCGCCAGCAACCCCCGAAACGGCGTTTGCTCCGATTTCTATTCACACGGGCTCGAGGTTTGACATCAGCGGAGAAACGTGACTCTTGCAGGACAACTTGTGGCAGTGCGCAATCCGTGGCAGTGCTGTGAGCGTCTGATCTGCTCCGAAAAGAGCAAACCCTTACTATAGTTTAATCGGGTTTGCGTAGGAAAGCGTAACAATGCATTAACATTGCAGGAAACATTTGTCATTTTAAAAGCTTTTACGCTATCCCCCATCTTGGTCTAATGTTCTACGTATTGTCCCAATAACATCAGGAGCAACAAACTAGACTTGTGGTTTAAATAAATACACATTAGAGTTAGCAATTAGGACAAACTGTGAGTAAAACAAGATTGCTGTGAGTGGTAATTATCTGGCTACTTCCTAAATTTTTTTCCAAGGGAATCTGTTTTATAGAGGTATTAGAACAGGATTTCAGACAAACTGGTTTATTGTTTTTGTTTGTTTGTTTGAGTGCTTTTTTAAATTTTTATTTCAGAACACTGGAAGATACTCAAACCCAGAAATTATGTCATTTGTAAGTAGTTAGGTTGAGGTGAACGATTCTTCCCGTCTCTTTCTTCTTCAGGTTCAAAATATGTAACAGGTAGAAACAATCTGTGTACTCAAGACATAGATTAGGTTAGTATCCGGTATTCTGTGATCATTATCTTTCTAAACACCTTATGTCCTTAGAATGTATAAGTTGTCTTACAGATTATCAGAAATACTGAGCAAGCTATGTTCCCTGTACTCCCATAATGTTGGTAGAACATGCTTTGTGTTTTAGAACTGTAAAAATAGTTTTAAGAAATGAATTCTGGAATATCATAGAGCTTCTAAACGTACAGAAATACCAATGTCACTCATAGTTTATGAAACAGTCCAGCAGAAGTATGGTTAGCTGCATGTAGTAAATCTAAATATTTCACTGCTGTGAAACATCCAAAGAGGAGAAATAACGTTTTGCACCTTTAAAACCTTTACTAAAAACTTCAGTTTAAGGTAGAAGAGAAGAAGCCATTAAAGAAAGCCTCTAATCAGATTAACTGATTGGAAGTCTTTAAAGACATGAAGGAAAATTTATGTAGAGTATTAAGAGTGGGATCTCTCCAGTAGTCAATATTAAAGTCTCTTATTATATACAGGCACAGTCAAGTAAGTGGTGAGTAGAATGGAAATCTGATTCTGAAAGATGGGTTGCATCTGGCTGCCAGCAGCTACTGTATTCCACTGTGATTGTGTAGGAGCAAAACACATTATCTTAAAACCTATCCCTGCAATGCAACCTCTGTGTATTCCTGTTCATTTCAAATTACCATAGAAAAAAAAAATATCAGTCAAGCTATAGGCAAAACTTCAGAGGTCTATGCCTTTTGAAATCTGTATTACAACAAAATCCTGGTGTGGGTAACTGAAGAATCTCATTTTTGTGCCAACATTATTTCCTTTTCTTTTCACAACAGCAAGTCCCAGTTCTTGTGTGAAGGTAATAGTATCCTTTCACTGAAAGCTTCATAAACCCCAGAAGAACATAAGACTGAAATGCAACCCCATTCAGGGGTTTTCACAACACAGTATTGCTATGCCCAAGGAAGAATGGTAGGAGTAGCATTGTATTGTCCAACAGAGACTCTGAAAAAGGTGTTTAGTCCATGGAAGACTTTAAGAAATAGTTTGTGCTCTATGAAGGCATTGCCATAGCTGTGCCCTCCTCAAGAAAAGCTTTTAGAACTTAATAGACTGACATGGTAGATCTGAGCTCATGTTCTATATATTTTTTTTCTTTGACTCTTTTAACTGAGTACAAGAACAAGCAATATGTAAAATACAGGAAAAGTAAATTTATTTTTAATTGAAACTAGTCCACCCAAATTTCACCACTGGGCAGGACATGCTCCTGGTTTCATTATTCCTAACACATCTGTGCTCTGTCCTTATGTCATAGGATTTCTGTTGTCTGACAGGTAGAGCAGTGGCGATGTGGGGGACCTGGGGTCCACTAGGACATCCCTTTGTGTTTCTGACAGGACTGGGGGCTTTTGGGCTTGGGCTTGTTTCCTTTTGTTTTAACTCTGAGGAAGGCAATATATTTCCAACCAACAGAAAAAAATGGGAGAAACTGAAAGTATGAAGAGAACTTCCTAAGATTACTCTATTAGATTTGCTTGCAAATGAAAATGATTTTAACTTATCCACCACAGTGGTGGTCTTTTGGTCTTTTTTTTTTTTTAATAAAAAACCTTCAAGCAACTCTGCTTGATAGGACTAGGAAAAAAAAGCAAGACTGATTTGTATTTCCCAGGTAGTGAAGCTATAGGCTGAGAGAAATTATAATCCATTTATATATTTTCCACTGTTTTTCTTTTCAGTGGAGAGAAGGCATATCTCCAACACACATCCTTTGTTGGTCTTTATTTAATAACCATTTTCTTATAAGCAGGTGAGAAGCAAGAGAAGTTTTAACAAGAGTAAGATAAAAATAGTCAAGTTTCAAAATGGGTTTTCAAAAATTCAGGTAATATTTAGAAATAAAAGAATTTTGCGCCTGTGTTTCTAGCCTCGTGCTATGGTGTCAAAATGCTCCTGCTAGACACAGGTGACATCTCACCCTTAACTTAGGCTACCAGATGGCTTGGGGATGTCTCCTGCCCTGCAGGCATCAGCAGCTGGATGTGCAGGAGATTGTTCAGGCTCTGATGCTTTTCACACTCATCATTGTGTATTACGGAAATCCAGTCTCCTACACAGCACTCAATGTAATCAATTAATCATGGTAGTTACTGCACAGAGTGTCTTCGTGTTCTTTTTAATCTAATTTCCTGCCTACGTTGGAAAATAGTAATTTCTATAAAGTCAGCACTGGACAGCTTGAAGCTTTAAGAAAATTTTTAAATGTTATTTTTGTGAAGTGGCCTAATTACATATTATATAGAGAAATAAGAGTTTTGCTTTAAAAAAGTAATGGCTACGTAAGAGAACTTCCTCTACAGAACGGAAAGTGTAGCACAAGTCATGTAAATACAGCGCCTTGGTAGAAGTTTTGCAGTTTTCTGACTGCAGCATCCCAAAAAGACTGCCTCTCAAACCATAAGTGCAGATCCAGTGCCAGAACTAGGCTTTCTTGGCACTGCTAGTGAATTTACATGAAAGGCTTTTGAACAGACAAGACTCTCTTCACAGGCTGGGTAAGGTAAACTCTAGATCTACTAAAAACACTAGGTCTACTAAAAGACTGAAAACATTGTGCTATTTCTACTACCTGGGCAAAATAAAACTATTAAGTCAGTATAAGCCTATACAGCCCTGCCTGTCATGATTTAAAGTTACTATCTAAAATGTAGTTTAATTAAGCCTTCTATTATCAGAACTTTGCATAAGTACTTGCCTGCATATCTAAACTATTTTTTTCTTGCAGTGACTACAAGTAAAGAAGTAGAAATATGTATGGTGAAACACTGGCGAGTGAATCGAGAGGAGAAATATGAAATAGTTGAAAAGTGGTTTTTGAAAGATCTGGAGATGATTGATGGAAAAGAAGCAGATACTGTAAGTGTTATGTACTATTAAATACATAGAGTATAATTTTCTTATGTTGCAATTTAGGACAAAATTATTAAAATGCATTATCTGAAAAATAAAGTTATGTTACCAAGGAATTTTTGTTTTATTGCATGTGAGAGGCTCCACATCACATTTTTACTGTTGCAAGGGAAGAGGAAGGAGAGATTTTTGTGTTTATTGTGATCATCTTTATCTCTCTAGTTGAGACTTGAGGCAGAAGCTGGTTGTTTTCTAATTTGTTAATTATAATTGGCAATAAAAGTTCTCCACCTGCAGCTCCCAGTGTAAACTGCAGTTAATCCCATAGATTTTAAAGTGTATTTGAAAACAAAATTTTGTTAAATATTTCTATGAAGACTGTCACCCTCTCATTTAAATGTTTGAACCTGGTCTCTGTGTGACAAAGTCAATGTGTAAAATACCATACAAGTGCATTGTTTGATGTAGCAACTTACAAAATTGTGTCTTTCACACAGTTTAGTCTCAGGTTACTTGAATCAATTCAGTATTTGTCTATTTGTGTGTGTAACTATGAAACAGTTTTCGCTAGATCAGGTTGACCTTGCTGCTAAAAAAGTCCTAATCTCTCAGATACAGCTTCAGAAGGATAAAATGAGACTGCAGTAGTACAATACATAACAACTCCAGAAATAGAATTAAATCCAATTTTACAAAGCTAGAAGGATATGCTAAGGAGAATATCTTCTTTATATGTGCGAAAAGACATTTTAACTGTTGTCTGTGTATAATAAATGTAGTCCAGGAAAGAATTATATTTTCCCCTTTGAAAGCGCTTTCAAATGAATGTGAAATAGAATTCAGATTACGTAAAGCTAATGAAAGGGAAATCAAGAGCCCCACGAGAAATGTTTCAGAGCCTTATTCCAAGGAAAATGACAAATTGGAGTTGTTCTCATTCTGCCCTGTGCACATGGTCCTCAAGGCTAAAAAGAGGAATGTGGGAGACAGAAGAGGTGAACTCTGCTTCAGAGTACCCCTGCACCCTGTGAGCTCTTAGCAGTTTAGGCCAGAAGGGAAAAAAAGACAAAACTAAGAATCCTTTACATCCCCTCTCCAAGTTATCTTGCTCCTGAAAATATTCCTGTCCTTTCTCCAGCCAAAGGCAGCCAGAGGATTTCGTTATCACTTGCTGCATGAATTTAACCTTTTTTTTTTTGAAGTGTTGTGCTAAAATATTCCTCAGATATGATCCAGCCTTTCACAACTTGGATGATCAAAATCTGTCTCATTTTTGATTAAAGAAAAGCCTAAATGAACCTCAAACTCATAATTATAGGGTGGTTAACACTGCTATAAATGTTCATAATAGGTATTCGTATCCATGGAATTTAGCAGAACTTAGCTGCTGCTAAGTTAATTAATTGTGCCAAAGAACCAGAAAGCACAAAGAAATACAATTAAGGCAGAAAGGGCCAATCAATATTATTCTTCTGACAGACATAGATAGTTATAGTCTCAGGCAAGTGCTTTTCATATAGTGTGTTTTAGGCAACGTGACAAATTGGTTTATTTCAAAACAAGATTGTATAATCTCAATAAACGGCAGCATATTGGTTGAATAAACTTTGAAAGTTTTACTCACAATTCCCAATGGCAAAGAATTACATCTAATTTTATGCTGCTGCTTTTTAAAGGTATAAAAGACCACTTAAGATGAATAGCAGAAATATGCAAAATACTTTAGAGCCCATCAGAGAAAAAGCCCTGCAGGTAGCTGAGCAGAGAACAACAGATTGCCATTTTAACTGTAATGCATATAATGCATTTTAACTGTAATGCATATAATAATTTCTCTATCTCTCAATTTTATTCCTTTTTTTTTTTAGGATAATCCATATTTTGATATGCACTTCCACAAGATCTACAATATGGAAGCATATAGTTGTGCATCTAAATATACCTTTGCTCGAACACTAAGCAATCTGAATGCAATGTACCTTAAGAAGGACTTGAAGATTGTGAACTTTGATGACACCTACCTAAATGATGATTCAATCTGGTCATCCAGTAATAGGGATTGCTTAGTAGTTATGAGGATGTGCTTCTATGCTTCCAACCTTTTATGTCTCTCCCTGTGTCCTTTGTCCTGAAGATGCATTTTCTAACATTAACGTGACTGGTTGACTTTCACTGACCAGCATTTCATATACCATCTGATCAAAAAGATAGTAAGTGATATGCAGTATCTGCTTTTTAGGTTTACATGTAAGTAAAAAATTGAGCGTACTTTTTACATAAACAATTGACCATTTATATATATTGGGAGGGCCTCATTCTAGCAAATACCTACAAATACATGAGACTCACAAGGTAGAACCAGTAATTCTCACAGTCAGTAGTCATTGCTTTTGTAAGTAGAGTTCAGCATTTTCTCATATATTCATGGAGGTATAGATTATCTTTCATTAATAGCTAAAATCATTTTACAGCATTAAGAGCATAAACAGTTAATTTATATCCTAGAAGTAGAAAAAAGAAAGCAACCAATTGAGGTCTGTATAAGAATGATGCACATTTCCATTTTCAAATGTGTTAAAATGCAGAACTCCATTAAAGAAATCATACCTACATCTGTATAAGAATCCAACCCTCATCCTGATGAATTGGAGTATTGCATTTAGGTATCATGGGACCAACTTTTTACCTATGCAGCTATATTATTTTTCCTACTGAACATTTAGTGTGCCCTTTGGCCTTCACATTTGTGGTACTGTCCTAGATAATAAATGTTCTTAAGCAGCATTGCTTTATTTGTCACACCTTTCAGAACTTTTGTATCATTAAAGTCTCCTTTCTAGCACTTCAGTGCTTATAAACAGGCAAGGTTAAGGAACAGAAACTGTTTATGTCTCTGCCTCTGGACCAAGAGATAACAAAGTACTATGTAAACAATAGTCGTTGGCTACTCCACTTACTTTGTAGGAAAGTGATAGACTTTTCAAAATTCATAGAATTATGAGAGTTATTTTCACCAGTTTTTAGCTAATGTTAACATATTCAGTGCGCTACTTAGAGTTACATTTACAATGGGCTGGAACCTACTTGAATGTTTGGAACATTTCATAAAAAGTTACAGCTGGACTTGTGATAGTAGTATATTACAGTAGAAACAGAGGATGAATTTAAGCTGTATTGAAGCAGGAGCTGAAGGGGAACAATGTTAATAGTAAGAAGCACAGTGATACTGCCTGGTGTCAGTCAGCAATGCTCATTGGCTGTTCAACCCGTAATCAATAAAGAAATGCCAACCCAGAAGGTCATTCAGAGAAGCTTCTGGTCAGAACATCCTACAGGAGAAAATCACTTTCTGTTTTGGCAGCCAAGAGAGTATAGGAAGGCTAGCTGTGGACTAAACCAGGTGTGGACCTAAAGCTGACTGATGACAGCTCCTAGGAAATCAGAGGCTGCTTCATGTCCCCTCTCAGCACCTGCCATCTGTACAACTGGATAGTCACACAAGGGTCCTGTGACTTGTACTTTGCTGTTGTCTTTCACATGAACTCCCAGCTTTGAAAACATTTGTGCAAATGTACTTTGGATTCAAAATTAAAATAACATCCAATAACTGAAAATATATTTGAAAAACTGTAAAATGTACAGCTTTCTACTTTTAAAATGTTACCCTATTGCGTGTATATAGGAAAGGCCATACCTTTGATTAGCTGATCTTCAGAAGTTATATATTTATTCTAGGCAGATGTTGCAAATTACATGCATTCTAATACAAATCTTAGTAATTATGTATATCATGACAGTTGTGAAAGCAGTTTATGTGGGTAACACATCCTCTGGAACTTGTAAGAACTTAAGTCTTAAATTTGCCACCTACATACTGTTAAAGAGAAGGATTGTATTTATAGTAATTGTTTGTGAAAATCAGTTGTTCTTTTGAGAATGTCTTTGGGATAATCCATTGCCAGTATGTGTGTTGTGACATTTGATTATTAGCTACAAGAAGTATTTGCCTAACATCCAGGTTCCACAAAACCATCTTCAATAGCAAGTATAATTCATGCTACTGCTATCCCTGATACATTATCTTGTTTGAACCATGTATTAATTGTTTAGATCACAATGTTTTCTGTAATGTGTACAAATTCTTTGCTTAGTAGGCACAAGGAAATGTTTTCTGGGTAGAAAAGCTTCCATCATTCACCTCATAATTGTAATAAAGACATAGAACCTCTAAAAATGAGCACTTCAGATCACTCTTCTGAAATAAAGTACATATATAGTGAATTCCTGACCCAATAATTGTCTGTATCACGTTAGAAACTGATGATAGCTAAAAAATTACTATAATGTTCAGCCACATTTAATGGACTTTCTTTGGTAGTTTATATATTTTTATTCTTGTACTGTATAAACAGCTGCACCACAGGACACAGAGAATATGCTGTTATAAATGGAAAAGACCTAACAGGCTAAATAGTCCATCTTTCAGTTAATGCAGAGTTATATCCTGCATCACATTTCCTGATCTTGGATAAGTAGAATGTAGTTTGAAATACAGTATCAGGGGTTTATCTAGTTGTCCTGGAAGTCTTCTCCAAAATTGAATAGGAACAAACTCTTGTGAATAAATAAATCTGTTGCATTCTTATAAAAGGTTTCAGCTACAGGATGGAATGAATTAAAACTTGAGATTGTGGTTATAATGCAGATTTTCTTCAGAAGATGGGAATTGCTATCAGCCATATCTGTTACAGAGAAAAGAAAATATGTACCAGCCTGAAAATGAAGAAGAGTGATCATAAGCATCACAGAAGAGGCAAAAAGGCTATCATAAAGACTGATCATGTTTTTTCCTGTATGTATTTTTTAAAACTCTTTAACCAACATCAGAATTAAGAATGTGGGGAAACCTATGACAAAAGAGTTTATTTAATTTTATTTATTTAAAGCAGAAGTACTCTTCTCCTGTGTGTTTATCTTTCATGGATAACTAATAATTTCCTACATTTTAAATTAGGCAAATACAGAATTTTAAAAGTAATTTTGTAAGTGAAACAGAGCAGAGTGCCTCTTCTGGACTGTGTCTTTTGTGTTATTTCTCATTCTTCTTCTCCTTTGTGCTTTGGAGTCATACATATAGTAATACACCTCTTTCCAACACAAGACTATACTGCTTTCCCTGTCATCTACCTATTTCCCAATAGATTCAGTCACTTTCAGCATATAAATATTTTTCTAGTAAAGCAAGGGATTTTATTATGTAATCTTAAATACATAATTTAAGAATATTTTGTCTTAAAGTCAGTATCGTAAGATCAAAGGTCCTTTCTAAAGAGCATCTGTGGGAAGCTGAAGTAGGAGGGTAGAGGATGGCACTGTGCATCCTGGAAGATTATCTCATGTCAGTTTTAATTTGTAAACACATTTTACCATTAGAAACTGCATTTTGGTGTGGTTTCTTTTTTTCTTCTAACATAATTAACAGCTAGAGACAGGAAACTAGAGAGTTCTGCCTAATAACAACAGCTTTATGAAACCTTGTCCAATATTTTATGGCTGCCTGTCCAGTCTTTGTATACCTAGCCAGAGACAGTTACATTTTGTGGCTGAATTGAGAAATTACCGAATTATAACTTCTATTTTAACCTTGGCCCTTACAAATGGTATATTATAAAATTATACAGTATGTCATTATGTAAGTAGGAAAATAAAAGTACATTCAGCAAGACTTAATTGGTCAGTCATATTTAATCACAGAATCTGAGCTGGGAGGGACCCACAAGGATCATTGAGTCTAACTCCCAAGTGAATGGCCTGTATGGAGATCAAACCCACAACCTTGGTGTTATTAGCACCATGCTCTAACCAACTAAACAACTGAGCTAATCTCAATGCTTTCAGTCAAGTGAAAAATGATACAGGAACTACAAAATCACAGTTTTAAATAAGTCCACATATTGGCAATTTATAACAAACCCTTGGAAAAGATGTTTTCTGTTGTTCTTTATTGGTCATGGCCTGGCAAATACATTTTATCAGCGATACACTGAAGGCATACTGATGTATTAATGTGAATAAATCATACAGTTCAAGTAATCTGTAATTATGCTATCCTTAACTCTGCATGCAAGTATTGAAGAAATACCGTATTATTAAGTTACATTAATGATATTAAAAATTAGTTAAGTGTATCAATCCTGTAGAGAACCTCCTTCACAGCAAAGTTTGAACTGGAAGGTAGCTCCAGTTTTCACAGAATTCAGCAGTAGCTACAGTAGCTACAGTAGCTACAAGTAGCTACAGCCAGATTGGTACATCATTTCTCATGGTTAGATGCCAAATCCTAAATTTCATGATCACTAGTCAGAGAGTACTGTCTGGATTATCACGGACATCAAAGACTATCAATTACTACTGGTGCTTCTGCCTGGGGGCAAAGCCAAAGTCTGAATGCTGCTCACAGAATATGAATATGAGCTGAATGAACATGAGCCAGCAATGCACCCAGGTGGCCAAGAAAGCCAATGGCATCCTGTATCAGAAATAGCATGGTCAGCAGGACCAGGGCAGTGATCATCCCCTGTACTGGACATTGGTGAGGCCACACCTTGGTGTTCAGTTCTGGGCGCCTCACTGTAACAAAGACATCGTGCTGGAGCATGTTCAGACAAGGGCAACAAGGTTTCCAAAGGGTGTAGAAAACAAGTCTTAAAAGAAACAGCTTAGGGAATGGGTTTATTTAGTCTAGAGAAGAGGAGGCTCGGGGAATCTCATCATACTCCATCCACAACTACCTGAAAGGAGGTTGTGGTGAGGTGGGGGCCGGTCTCTTCTGCCGTGATTGCAGTGAGAGGACCAGAGGAAATGGCCTTAAACTGAGACGGTAGATTCAGATCAGATATCAGAAAACAAATTTTCACTGTTAGGGCGGTCAGGCACTGGGATAGGTTGTACCAAGGAGGTGGTGGAGGCACTATTGCTGGAGGTGTTTAAGAGAC